AAAAGGTGGGGCTTACTAGAAGGAAATTATGTCATTGGGGAAGTGTTCTCAAAGGGGATACTGGAATCCTGGTCCCTTCTCTTTTCTTTCACTTACTGTTCCTAGCCACTGTGAAGTAAGCATATTGCTCCATCTCATGATTCCCACCATGATGAGCTGTCTCACCAAAGGCCCAAAACAGTGGGACCAATGAATCATGGAATGGAACCCCCAAAACTGAGTCAAAATAATGCTTCCCTCTAAAGAACTAAAGGAATAACTTCTAATCTGGATGAATGTCACTACTTATGAAATACACAGCATTGGTCTACTTCATTTTGTCCTACTGATTCTCTTAATGACCAGAGAGACATGCATTTTTATACTTTCTCGGGTCTTCTCTGATTTCTGTTTTGAATTTTTTTTTTCAAAAAGAGGAAAAATAAATGTTTACGTTTCTGGAGTCAGAATATAATCTGTTCCCATCTCCGAAGACAGGAAACTCAGCTACAGTTTGCTGGCAAAGGATGATCACAGCTTTGCTTGGTAGATTGTGGCATTCTGAGGTTTCATGTTGAACACCTAGAAATATTTACCTCCTAAACTGACTAGATATATGATTTTTAGCAATTGTTTTATATCAATCTCAATTTTATATTCTGCAGCAACAGAGAATGAGGTCATTCCATTTTTCTGTGCCACTGTTTCTGGTATGTATATCTCCTGCTATGATTCCCTGGATCTTCTTCCCCTAGGCTGCTTTTCCTTCCTTAAGTCTCCTGTTACTCACCTGATGTGATTTCCAGAATACTCGGCATTTTTTCCTTTATTTGTCCCCTGCTTTGTCACCCTTTTTCTTGTGGAACAGAAAATTGAAATTTTACCCAAAATGTTATGGTGTCTCTACACAGACGACTATGAAATAACTTTGAGTTAGTACACTGAAATATACTACCTAAGGAATGATCATTTGCCATATGCAATTCTTTCCTATAATCTGATGACCAGTAATGGGGGTATACTAGCTTAGTGCTCTTTGGAGAAGAGTACAATAATAAATTTGGCATTTTAAAGGTTTTCTTTGAGATGTTTTATTTTTTGAGATGGGGCCTCACTGTATTTCCCAGGCTGGCTCCTGAATTTAAGGGTTCCCAGGATCCTCTTGCCTCTGTCTCACAAGTAGCTGGAACTACAGGGTATACTACCACTTTCAGCTTAGCATTCTTATATTTATTTGTGTGTGTGTGTGTGTGTGTGTGTGGTGGGGATCAAACCCAGGGTCTCATGCATGCTAGGCAAATGCCTTATCACTGAGTCATACCCCTAGCCTCGCATTTTTATTGTTTTTAATTCTTCAAGCATTCTTTCTCTTCTTTTTCTGTTTTTTTTTTAATGGGTTTATTTAGCTACTTATTTTTGCTTTCTTCTTTTTTCCCTTCAACTCTTAAATTCTGGTTAGCTTGTGTATTGTGTATGTATTCCTCATATTAGAGATTTTTGTTTTTCTCTTATGAGGATTTCTTAATGTTTTTAGGCTTTGATAATATACTCTCAAATCTAAGGTTGTTGAGTATAAACCAGATTCTTTATATATTTCAGTTATCTTGTTGCAGTCTCAATGCCATCAATAAGATTCTATTGTAAAAGAAAGTAATTTCACTGTTTACTAAAATGTTTTTAAAACAATGGCCTAAAAATCCCTCAGATATTATCAGCTTTTTTAAAAGTCAAAAACAGAAGCCTGTGATTAATAAAAAAATTAAAAATAATTTCTTTCGTTCCTAAAATTGCCTGTTCTTAGAGACTACTCTGTTATCAATGAGAACTTTCTAAACACTGTAAGTTACTATTGTGCCCATTGCTAAATAATTGCTCTATAATCACATCTAATTGTTTTTTTTCAGAGAAACATTTTTTAGATTGGTTTCTCTTTATCTGACATTTATTTTGTCTTTCACTGATTTATGTCCTTATCTCCATTTTAAAATTTTCTTCTAATTTATCTCAGTTCTATTTGTTATTCTTGTTACCTTTCTGAGGTAGAAACTTGAATCATTTTCCCCTTTCTTCTTTTGAAATTTAAGTATTTATGACTATATACTTTCTGTTAGTACTGTTTTAGGTACATTCAATGAGTTTTGATAGGTCTTATCTTCATTATAGGTCTTATCTTCATAATGTAAATTTACTAATTTCCATTTTGGTTTCTGATTAATAATAATAATATTTCAATTCCATGGAATTGTAATTTTATAATTATATGTTGTTTATTTTAGTTTAATTCCATTGTTGTCAGAGAGTATACTGTAAATTATTTCTTATGATGAAGTACATCTTCCATTTTGTTTAATGTTCCACAGGCACTGGAAAAGAATTTCAGTGGTATCACTGTTGGGGGAAAGTGATCTGTTTTTGTCAATTAGGTCATGTTTTGCTAATTGTGTGGCTCAGACCTTTTATGTCTTTATAGGTTTTATTTATTTATTTATTTATTTTCAGATGTTTAAGCATCTATTGAATGAACTGTACCAAAGCCTCCTGTTATGTTTATAGATTTGTGGATTTCTCTGTTTTGTTCTGTCAATTTTTTGTTAGTTTTGTGTCATTTGAAGTTATGACCTTTATCATACAGTCATGGGCCACATAATAATGCTTTGGCTAATAATGGACCACATAAATGATGGTGGTTCCACAAGATTGTATCACATTATGATATTGTAACTCTCTTGCCTTGCATAAGTTTATGGGCACAATGATGAAACTCCCAATGACACACCTCTCAGAATGTCTCTCCTCATCTATAAGTAATGCATGACTGTGTGCAGACTATTTTAAATTCTCATATATTCCTAAGTGACTATTTTATCATTGTGAAATATATTTATCTTTTTAATGCTTACTATCTGAATATCTCTTTTTTCTGATGGCACTAGAACTACTTGAACTTACTTTTTATTAGTGTTTCTGTGATATACCTCCTTCACCCCTTCACTTTTAACCATTTGGGGATATATTTCATATGATAAGATACAGTTTAGTTTTTTTTGTTTGTTTGTTTATTTCATTCAGTTGGACAATCTTGACTTCCTTTGGAACAATTTTTTTCAGTTTCTTTTTTCTTGTTTCATATGTATATATAAAATTTCTGCTTTTTCCAAATCCAGTGTGAGCATGGTTATTCACTATCTACATATAACATTTGAAGGCTGAAGTCTCAAGAAGAAAAGAATTTTATTTTAAACCCTCTATCACAATTTCTGGTTCATTAATCATATTCTTACATTATTTTGTTCCTTAATGTGTGTTGATCTTATTTTTTTGTAAATTACAAATCTTTGAGAGAAGTGCTATTTCATATCTTGTATAGACCTATCATAATACTGAACATAATATAATTAAAAGCCAATTTGAAACATCTGATAGTTGAAAAAGATAGTCTATGGGACATGATAAATATTCATCATAATCACAATTCTTATAGATTTATCCTTGTAAATTCTTGTGTAATCCATATATCCAGTTATCTATTCATATGTATACCATCTCTCTTTGAACCCCGCAAATTGTCTTTATAAAACTCTGCTCAAGGACAGATAGAGGAAGCATACATGAAATACATCTACAGCTTTTGTAAATCTGTTTACAAAAATAGTGACTCTTTGCATTGTTTCTTATCCCTTAGAATTTAGGGCAATGAAAGGTTTATTTTTCATGATAAACTTGCATGCTTCTTTCAATTAAGCAATGAGAATTCTCTAAGCCATGAATCCATCTTCTTTGTTCTGACTGCTATGAAGATAAGAACTATTTTTTGTTTGGGGATTGAAAGTGTCTTCTTGGTCAGTACATGCACACATGTGCACACATATATTAGTGTCTGTGTGTATGTATGTAAGTGTATATACACATACATATGTGTTATAGGGTATGGCTATATGTGATTTTCATTATTTTATTTTTTAACCCTTTGTTTATATGCTTTGTGCTAATTAATGTAGTATTATTGTAATTGTGTATTTACTGTAGTCATACCAAAATTTGAAAATTTGTGAATTGGCAATAGGCTAATATTATGACCTAGGATGCTAGTGACTCATCAACTTTGGTAAGAGTTTGACTTTTTATTGCCAGGCAGACCAGTGTGGTATCGTCATTTACAGTTTGTCAAATGTTGAGTAATTAAGATGAAGGAAAGACAAATTATACAATCTCTTAAGGTTCTTTTTTTTGCTATTCATTTTTACTGACTGCCTTTTTGATTTATAGAAATGTTTAAAGATCTCCCCATGATACAAACTCAACCTTTTTGTGTTTAGAATTTACATGAAAAGAGTGAACTTTACAAAGTTTTCTCAAAATTTCATGTTTGCAACATAAACTGAAGCATATTGAGGTATCTGAATAACTTGGCAAACTTTTGAAGTTTTTAGTTGGACGATAGGAAACACCAAGGAAAATCTCCAGCCGTGGATACTGTAAATAAGAGTTTAGGATGTAGGTGACATAATAGCTATAATATCAAAGCTCGCAGGTTTGTGGAATTATGAATAGGAGAAAATTCATAATAGGAAAATCTAAAATTTTCTTTTCAAAATTTGTAGTTAGTATTTGTGCCCAAATGCTCTACTAGCAGCAATTTCAATCCATTTCCCAGATGTTAGAAAAGTTCTGTTCATAAAATCCAGATTGTTAATTCCACTCTATCAAACCAGTAGAAGACAATGTTTATTTAAAGGATCATTTCCAAATACAAAGAAAGGGTAATTTGTTTTAATTATTTGGGGTCTACTAATAAGGATTGCAGTTTTGAAGAAGCTTGAGTTCAAACAACTGCAGTTGGTTAACTTCTTTTCCAGGTACCTGTAGGTTTGAAACACAAGGTGGTATGCTTTCTGAGGGCTAGGGTTGAAGTAGGTTCAATAAATGCAGTCTTCTGCATTCGTAGTTATATAAATATGTGAATGTACCCCTACTTTATAGCAGAACCAAATGAACTTTTTTTTAAAGAAGTATCACAATAGTGATTTTTATAAACAAAACTTTTATTTCAAATATATTTTACAGTTTGTGTGTAATTACGATTGCTTTCCAGATTCTGAAATTTAATAATAAATTGAACAGGCAATGTACAAAATCGTGGTGTTTACTTAGGCCTACTGAATTCCTACAATTGTTCTGGTAATTTGGTTTCTTTTTCCTTTTTAAATTGGATCAGTAGAGACATCAATGATAACATAACTTTTTTTTTTCCCTTTTGGTTATATTTTGAAGAGCAACAAAGTACCACTCCATTCTGTATTTGTCTGCATCTTTAAAAACTGGCAATATGGGAAGTAAAATCTTTATATATGGACTTGATTAATTGAAAAAATCACGATATATTGTGATCAGAGCTGAAGTAGGTTGTTTTGTGTGTATGATAGAAATAGTTTGCTACACAAGTTGGTAGAATAAGTAAAATTGTAGGACATGTTTAGCCTCCTCAAGAAAACATAACTATTTTAAAGAACTTTTAGCAGTACTATTGCGTACACTTTACATACTAGTTACAATGCTTACTTATAAAACAGATCTTCTCTGCTGGCTATCATTAGATTGCTTTAGAAACTCGAGAAAATAAATTGGATTTTTTTTCATAAATGATCTTTAATTCAAACATTGAACTGATTCATGCTTACCTTTACCTCCATTGTTATAATTGAGGTTTCAGTAATTATATGAAGTTATAGAGATGACTTCGAAATATTTAAATTTGTTAGGATTGACAGGGTCTTTATTTTTAAAAAATATGTATATGAACTTCCTCAAACACCAATAACTAAAATTGGCAAAGTTGAGATTATTGAAAAAAATAAAAAAGAATGTGTATTTTTTGCTATTGCCAGTAACTTTTTTTTTGGTTGTTCAAGGCATTGGCAGTAGGAAAATAATCTATTAATATATGTTCGTCCTAAATATCCCATAAGAAACTAAAAATCATAAAGGCCAAGAAATAAATGTTTCCAAGTTGAAATACTACAGGACAAAACTAAGTGAATTTTATTTGGTAGAGGAGAGAAGGCGGTGTTTGGGGCTTTGCATCCTGGGAGCTGAGTTCTCCTGAACAGGCAGGATTTTCCCAGCCCACATAGACTGAGCCTATCCTGATAATGCCTTTGAGGAAACAAGGTAGCCCATGCCACCATAGCCCTGGCGGGTGGTGGGGGGGGGGCATGATGAATTAACAGAAGGTTTATTTCTCAGCTCTGACAATGGATCTCCTTTCAAAAAAAACATTTGTTTTGCAAATATTAAGTGGGTTATAGTTTTATGTCTTTTTTATATTTCTTTTGTTGCACTTGCCTGAGGTCTCTGAAGTCTACTGCTTTGCTGTAATGAACCACACAAGGACCATATAAGCAGTCACATCACAGAACTGATGGTTCCAACACCCTCCAAAACTGTGTATGGAGAGAAGGGGAGCTCTCACACTCTTATACCATCATCTACTCACTGACTCTCACTCAGTTTCAAGGTTTTCACAAAGGCCTAAGGGTAAAGTGAAGGTTCTAGTCAACATAACTACAGAATTTGACATGCTAAAAAAAAAAAAAAAAAAAAAAAAAAAAAGGTAGGCAGAAGGGAGATGAAATTAGCCCCACCTCCTGGTTATCTTTGAAATACCAGAGGGTGCAGAAGAAGTATTTGAAGCTGTTAAAATAGCAAAAGCTTTGTTTCTATCCCCAGAGATTCTGATTCACTACATCTGGGATTGGGATCAGGAATCTACATTTTTAATAGTAATTCTGAATTCCATGAATTAGACTTTGTAAAATACTTCTGTTCAGGGATACAATGGGCAAAGTTTTAGTTAAATACACCCCTTTCACATACTTTACACTCATTTGAATCAGGTGTAATCTGGTCCAGTGTGTTGATTTTTATTAAGAAAGAAAAGAAAAGAAAAGAAAAGAAAAAAAATCCAACCAACCAAATAAACAAAAATCCTCACAGAAGTATCTAGAAAAACATACTATGGTAGAAGAGACAAGCAAAAATGGCCATTAGAAGGATGTTTTTAACATTCGCTAAAAAAAGTGGAAGGTTGAATCTAGAGGCTCATGTCAGAGTATTAAACAATTCAGAAAGTGTACATTATTCAAAATTGGACATAACAAGATGAAAATGATAGTTCTTAGCATTTCATGATCTGAAATTGTGAAATGTTGCCATATGAACAACAGGATAAAGCATAGTTCTGAGGGAAGAAGCCCAGCCCCACCCAGAGCCAGTATCCAGCCAGGGAACAGGCACCAGTGCTCCAGGCCACAGGGTTTCAAGTGTATTAGATTCCATGACAGGAGAGGGATCTTTTAATGTCAGAGTGAAGCTCAATTCCTGCCTGGGATGCATTGTAACAAGTTCTGACTGTCCTGGGAATGTCTACATTTAAGAATGATACCCTTAGTTCAAAGTCAAATTCAGTTAAGTGGGGTTATTTATATTGAAAACAAATTTAAATTATTTTCCATACATTTCATAATGAAACTAATGATTACACCTTCGGCACAAGATTTGTGAAAAGAAACACAATATAATAAAGAACACATTTGCTGTTTTTATTGGTGCCTTGCATGGCAGTAATACTGAAAAAAAAAAGAGAGAATGAAAAAAAAAAAAAAACCACAAAAAACAAACAAAACAAAAAACCCCCAAAACCAAAAAATAGGTTGGTGGCAACCCACATCTTGTTTTTTTTTTTAAGAGTACATAACTCCTGTTTTATTTTTATTGTGGCATGAATGATAACATAAAACCAAAAACATGAAAATATACAACTTATATTACACTATGTGTTATGAACAAAATATAAATCTATAACTCTATGTTATATTTACATAATTATTTATTTTATTAAATTTCAAGTGAGATGGTAGGTTGCACATACTTTGTTTTAAGCTCCAGGCATTTGATTGTCTCTTTTCTATTCTTTTTAAAAATTTTTACTTGTAAAATCCAAAATGGTACAAAGACTAAGAGCTTTAGAGCCAGTGGAGCTATATAAATACTGTTTTAATGAACCAGTGACAGAAACACTGGGGAGGACAGGAATCAATCAGTAGGAAACTCAACACATCATTTTCAACCTGGGAAACTGATAGTTATAGGGAACTTTAAAATTAAATACTGTAAGCCTGGCTAAACAAACACCTATGCCTATAAGACAAAGGGATATCTGAACCACTTTAAGTGGGCTTCATATTTTTCCTTGCAGACCCCATAAGCTTTATTTTACTATTAAATTGATAGACAAATATTTCATAAACCTGCTTGTAAATATACAGTTAGTTGTTCATTACAATTCAATAGTTTGCCCTTTAGAATGACTGAAATATAATCATCTTTGATGTTTTAAATGTGATATAAGAGGTTTCTTCTGAGAATTGTTACAGCTTCTGGACTAAGAAAATATCTGAAAATGGACCATAGAGTGGTTAAAGAATATTTCTTTAAATGATTGAACATAAAATGCTACTCCAGAAATCAAATCTATGAAATAGTTTCATCTAAGAACACTTTTAATATCTGTTTCTCATGGGAGAATTTGATCTTAACAGGGTGATGTTGTTTTCCAGGAGGGGTTTTATACATGGATAGCTCTTAACTGTAGATGCCAAGAGAACTTCCAAAATTGACTGAACTAACTTAGGTATACATGTGCTAAATAATAGTTTTAATTTTTTTTCAGTTGAAGTAACTAACCAAATTATCATTAACTTACAAATAAACAACTTTAACCTATTTTCTCCAGTGATGCTTTCTTAGATTTGTATCAAAACATGACTATTTTTAGAGGAACTGATTATGACAACTATAAAACTGGAATTCTGGCAAGATTATTTCTCAGTTGTTGGTGTTTGTGTGTGTGTGTGTGTGTGTGTGTGTGTGTGTGTGTGTGTGAGAGAGAGAGAGAGAGAGAGAGAGAGAGAGAGAGAGAGAGAGAGAAGCTTGAACAGGTAGGTAGAAAAGAAGAAAGGAGGGAGACTTTGTTTATTTTAGTTTGATCTTACTCTCATTTCCTCTACCTTGCTATTTTTTGGTCACCATGGGACACAGAAAAACAATATGAGGTTTTAGGATCCTTTACAAAAATCATAAACCAATCAAATGCCAAAAAAGGCAATGTGTTAACAAGGTAAGCTGTTATTCACAGCACCTTTTATCAAATGATTTAAAAGTACTTTAAACATTAATATAATTATTTTTGTTTTTGTTGTCTTTTGGGGGAAACTAGGGCAAAGAAATTTTGACATTTAGTGAACTAAATGTCAAAGCAAGAGAATACAATGCAAGATTATGGGCTTGCTTTTTGTTTCTGTTCATGAACAGTTTAGTCTTAAACATAAACTTAACTAAATAAACTTTGAAGTTTCAGCAGTTATAGGTCACCATTAACAATTTCATTTTCCCTTCAATTAAAACAAAATAAAAAAAAAATAGATCAACAGAATGTTTTGTCAATTCGCTGGGGACAGAATTGGTTTCAGCCATGAATGCCCTCAGTGGCATCTACCTGGAGCTAAAACAAAGTATTCTTGTAGCCCAAAGTCATGAAATGAAAACAAAGCATCTTTATAACATGGTGTAGAGTAAGTATCCAGCAAACGTGAGAAGTGAACCCACATAAGTCAGAAGAAATTTGTTAACAAAGACAGAGAACAAATTTTTTAAAAATCTGTTTTCACATTGTACATAACGATATAAAAACAAGTGTCTATTTCTTCCTTATTCAGAGTGCTTAAAAACAAACAAAACAAAAACAAAAAAATTGGCTCTGGATGACTGTGGCAACTAAATAACTAAAATGAGTGATGAGAGCATAAGTTAATTAAGATTGAACATGACCCTCCTATTTATTCACTCCTTTGTGTTAAACAACAGAATTGACATTGTTGGGGCCAAATTTTTTAAAAAGGAGAAAACTTATGGAAGAAGCAGTAAAATTGTGTGGGTGAATATGTGTGTGTGTATACACATGTATACACACACACATACGTTGCGTGTGTGAGTGTATATGAATTGGAGATAGAAATCAGTTTTAAATATCTAACAGCTTATTGGCTGCACTTCCAAATCAAAGCAGAATAAAATAGACAAGGAGAAATAAAATAAATTATACATAACTTACTAATCTGGGAACAGCTGACCATTATTATTATTATTATTATTATTATTACTATTATTATTATTATTTTATCATCATCATTATTACAACACTAGCAAAAAGAGGCAGTTCAAATGAAAATACAGTCATCAAAAACAAACAGAAAAACAAACAAAACAAAATCTCTGACATGCAGGATATGATCAGCTCCTCCAAGCAAAACCCCAGAGTAAGTCTTTTGAGAGAGAGAAGAATTAAAGGACTTTTTTTCTTATATCTGAAAATTAGACTTGAGGGTGGTATTTGGGGGCAATATAGGAAAATGATGACTGGAGTGAACACCTTTAGCACATCCAAGCTACCGGATGGAGTAAAATTACTGTCTGATGTTTCAACAAAAAAAAAATGGCAATTAGCTTGAAGTGATTTTGCATTTATTTGTACAGGCTGTGCCACTACCTTGGCATTTGGCTAGCAAAAAAAAAAAAAATCTAAATAAGCAGTTTTGTCACGATCAGCTGCTGCTCTGTTCACATACTCTATTGGCACTGAAACTGGACTTGAGCAGATTCACCTTTCAGCAAAAGAAGAGTAGGGGCAAGGATCACTGGGTTCAGCCGTGGTCCACTTTGTTGGGCTACAATGACTTTTATTCAAATACTGGTTTTTCGTGGCATGAAATGCACATGGTCCACACTTTTGAAATGCAAAAGGCCTCCACCTCATTTTATGGAGAGATGAAAACTATCTTTTAAAATCATCAGTTCCATTTCCTGGTCAGGAAAGGATGGAATGTTGGAGAAATAAGCTAATTCTATATTTCTGGAAAATGGCCAAATATGTTCAGTGAAAATGATGATACTTTGCTTAAAGTATCAACAGGTAAAACAAATAAAACTCATTAAGTAGCAAACGTTAGTAGAACCAATTGTCCAGGGAGAAGGGACATCTGGGAGCAGTTTGCTAGTAGCTTCCATGTTATACATGCACACCTCTATTACACAGGGCCACATGATCCATCCAATAATAATCATATTAGAAATTTTAAAAATATAATTTCTGAGCCCTATACTTGGTTAAGTTGTCATTTGAAGTGCAAAGTCAAGGTCAAGATTACCTCTAGTCATTTAGGAGGATGTGGGATTTCATCCCCAGATGTGGGTTTAACTCACAATGGTCCAATGTTATTCCTATTAGTACCATAATCACACACATACACACACAAAAAAATCCAAGATCAGAAAATATTTTTTCTCTAAATTTCTTATGTCTCTCTCTCTCTCTCTTTTCACCTGAGAACAGCACCTACAGTTTCCTTTAAAAAAAAAAAAGTCAAATCTCACCAGCTGCTGGTATTTCAGGTCTTTCAAGGGATTGTCTAAGATATAACACTGTCCTAACTTAAGAAGGAATAGGAAAAAGGAAAGGGAAAAATGAACTTAGTCAACACTTCAGTACAAATTTGGCACTTGCTCAAAGATGTAGTGTGGTGTGCAAAAAGATAAAGAAAGTTCTCTAAAGAAAATAATTATGTATTTGTGGTAGATAGCAAGGAAGTTAAAAACAGGCTCTTTTTCCCTCTTCCCCCCATGCACAGACTTCCATCTTTAAAGTATAGAGATGGAGAAGGTGGAGAGAAATAAAGAGAAATTCATCTTTCTTTTTTTTTTCTGTCAGGTGCATTACAACAACAACCAAAAAATAATAATAATAATAAGGAAAGGAAAGAAAAAGGAAAAAACCCAGAAACCCCCCAAAAAACAAAACAAAACTTATTTCTTTTTAAAAATTGTAGCACAAAACAACAAAACACATTCACAAGCCACTTGTTGGCACTGTGTACCTGAGTGAGAATTTCTAGAACATTGTAGAACAAACAGCCATAAAGTTTATTAAAAAAAAAAAAAAGTTGACGGGTAAGACTTCAGTGCTTGGATGTAGCAGCTGAATTACTGGCATTATTTTACCCATAGCTTATTTCAATCTCTTGTTGTTGATATTGTTGTTTGCTTGTTGTGTTTTTTTTTCCTTTCCAAGCCTTTTGAGGCTGAGGTCTATTAGTCAGCTGATGTCCCAACTATTTAAGACTAACAGTTAAAGTAACAGTCAGTGTATGAGAAAGTTAATGTGCTTGGCCACTGGTAAGGATGAACCAGCTAGGGCTTCTTTAAGTCCTAAGGTCACAACCATCTTTTGACCCTTATCAGTTGGCTTGTCCTGCAATATGGTTTTCACTGTCACTCCCATAATCTACATCTGGATCATCCTCATCCTCATCGTACTCATCATAAATTTCTCCATTGATGTCCTCAGCCTGTATCTCTTCTTTGATATGTGGCTCCTCTCCTTTCACACCGTAAGTGCTCTGGATAACAGGCATCCCAGGCTCTGGGCTGCTGGACACACTCGAGTGCTCCGAGGGCAGGTGAGGGGAGGGCATCCCAGCCATGGCGATGGCTCCAGGGTACACAACACCCGAGGTGGCGATGGGGATCTGTGCTTGTTGCCTGTCACACAGGAATTCCCAAAAAGAGATCATGAGTGAGTGCATGAGTTATATGCCAGTCTTACCCTATAACTGATTTGCTCAATAGTGTCCAACTCTAAGGACTCGATTGCCTAACATTTTAAAAATTAATATCCTACTTAGAGTTGACTATCTTCTTTCCGGATAGCCCTTCATGGATTACAAGGCATTTACATGAAATGCTCATTGGATTTTCAGAGTAGTCATTGTGTTACTACTCTGTTTTGAGGGGGAAAAAATTGAAACATACCAAGATTAAATAGAAAAACTCATGTTCTCAACTCCAAGCTCACTTGTCCATTACTATAACATGCAGACATAATTTTTTATTATAATTAAGCCTAAAGATAATTTAATTTTAATGGAAAACTCCTACAGTATTAGAGCTCTCAAAATGCCCAGAATGTACCAGAACTGATAATATTGCATTGTTCCCTTCTCCCCATGGGGTAGGAGGCAGGCCCAGCTTCATGGTCACACAGCTTGTGCAACCACACTACAGTCCTAAACTTGGTTAAAATCCTGCTGTTGACAACCTTGAAATTCTTAATAACTTTTAAACAAGGGACCCTGTACTCTCATTTTTGTAATTGACCCTTCAGATTGTATAACTGGTCCTAGCAGGAAGGGATTAATGGATTGATGTTCAAGAAGTGTTGGACTTTGTATTCAGCTTTATAAAGAGTCATGTACTTGGATAGAAACCACAGACCCTTGGACAGAGCACACAGACTCTTTCAAGGAAATGGAGAGTACAGGGCCGATTTGAGAAGTTATTTTCAAAGATATCCTCTGGCCATATGCAGAACGGTATTTGTTATTCTAAGTTCTCAGGATCTGTTTCAAACATGAGCAACTTTATGTCTATGTACTTTGAGATAATTCGGCAGAAGCAATGCAGTTGCAGACAGCATGTGACAACACTGTCAACAGCCTTGCCACAGAACGTGGAGGAAAACATCCTGAGAGCTGCATTTCTAATTCAGAATGGAACTTTCCCATTCACAGCCTTGATGAGTCCTAAATATAATCCCTACTCTGTGTAATCCACAGAGACCACACATGTGCACTGATAGCTCAGCAATTCCTCAGTATTCAGAAACAAGTGTTTCTCTCTGTTCAAATCACTTTTATGCTGTATTCTCTCAAATAAGTTGTGAGCTGTATGGTAATTTATCATAGTGAGATCTTGAGTGTCAAAAACCGCCAAGGAAGAAAAACACTAATACTTTCAAGTTAGGGTTTATTTTAGTATTGAAGATTGAACCCAGAGGCGCTTGACCACTGAGTAACATCCCCACTTCTTTTTGTATTTTATTTAGAGACAGGGTCTCACTGAGTTGCTGAGGGCCTTACTAAATTGCCATGGCTGGTTTTGAACTACCGATCCTTCTCCCTCAGCCTCCCTAGCTTCTGGGATTACAGACGTGTGCACTGTGCCAGATAATACTTTCAAGTTTTAATAGCACACTTTAAAAGTATTTACTCTTAAGGTATTTTATTTGCAAATGAGTTATTGACAAAGTGACTGCAGGAACTAGGTGCTTGTAATGGATACCTGTGGATGTATTTCTTAGGTCCACGAGGGTGACAGCTTAGTCACTCAAAATACACAAAGTTCAGGTTCTTTTACAAAATGCCCCTTTGCAACTAAATAAATGTTGCATTATCCCATTGAGTGAGAAAGGAGGTTCTACCCATAAGATAAACAGCTGCAAGTTCCATACCCAACATTGAAGTATTGCCGCATTTCCTGTCGCCGGTTCCTCATGATTGCCTTGTATTCTCCAATGCGCAGCTTTTTGCCATCCACAAGGCAGGTGCGCTTTGGCCTGGGCTTGTACTTGTAGTCAGGGTACTTCTCCAGGTGCTGCTTGCTGAGACGGGCTTGCTCCTCATAATATGGCTGTTTCTCTAGGTTTGTCATAGCTTTCCAGCGAGATCCTGTGAACAAAGGAAGGTTAGGATTCCAATTTGCACAGCTTCTAAGCATCCAAAAAAAGAGATATAACTGAGAACAAGAAAATCTAAAAAATGTTGGCCCAAGCCCAGAAATACATAAACATGTTTTTGATTAGTGAGCTTTGATTCAAAAGGCGAGATCTCACAAGAACAGAGGTGTTGGTGGCACTCTACTCAAAGAAACTATACCCAGAGATATGAACTCTGGGCAATATATTATTTTTATGGCTTGAATGAATAGTTTTACCAAACTTGTATATTATATGTTTAAAAGCCCATAGATAATTTCATGAATATGCCTTTCATTTATACATTAGCCCATGATGTAATTCAGCTGAAAAGTTAGACAATAATTCAGCACATATTCTGAATCTGAGACTATCTAGTCGGTGTTAATTTTTTTGTGGGGGCACATTATTTTCTACAAGTATCCCAGTATCACATATTCTCATTTTCCTCAAAATGTTTAAGTGTGACTATAGGAAGGATTATAGTAAAATTCATTTAATTAAAATGCATGTTATTAACGACCATGGACTGGGTAATTACTGTATGTTAGATGTTGTACTAAGAACTTTTCACATGTTGTCCAATTTCTCCCTTTCCTCACAATCAAGATAGATGGCATTTATAGCTACTTTCATAGATGAGAAAACTGAGGTTTAAAACAGAAAAAGAAATAGGCTTCAAATAGCAATAAAAAGTTCAAACAGATGAACTTGAGTAGTTGTGTAAAGAGCACACTACTGTTAAATTTCAGATCTTTGACTCAAACTCAGGTTTAATAGAATTTAAAATATGCTACAATGTATATTTTTACATATAAATAGCCACCCACTCTATATGATTTAGCAGTGATCAGAAATACGATGGTAATTATGTAAGATTTTTATCTTCAGAAACCACTTTCAAAAAGATATAAAGATGTCACTTTCCATGAAACAGTATGAATTAATAATGATAACCCATATTGTTTTTCCCTTCTTTTCACTATTAATTTTGGTGTGGATCCAACTAGGATTGAGAAAAACAAATTTGAAGCTTAACTAAAAATAGTTTATGCTAATTCTCATGTTAGATGTCTTGAAAGCCTTGATTCTGTCAGTATAGCTATGTATAGTAGCAATAGGAGTAGTAGTAATAGTGTTCATTTTTAAAAGACAGACTTACTTTTATTGCAAATGCAATGTGTTTATCTAAAAATAGCCAGCTCAACTTTATCCAAAGAAACAAAGACCAAAAAACTGGACCTATGGGATCCCTATAGCAGTGTTTTAATGTAGTTGTCCCCCAAAAAAAACTCATGTTGGAGTTTAAGTCCTTACTGTAAGATATTAAAAGGATGGAAACCTAATGCCACCATTTAGGGGGGTAGCCTTTGGTGGGTGATTATGATTAGGCAAAATCATTGGGATGAGAACCCTATTATTGAACACTAGTAGGTTTATAAGAAAAGAGACAGATCAGAGAAGAAAAACACAGTAGAGATGCTTGTCTCTTGCCATGTGATGCCCTCTGTTGCCTCAAAGCTCTGCCAGCAAGAAGCCGTCACCTTATGTAGTCACTCGACCTTAGATCACAATCACGAGCTAAAATAAGTCTCTTCTCTTTACAGAGTCACCCATCCTCAAGTATTTCCTTTTAGTAATGAAAAAGGGACTAATATGCTTATCGAACATGTACTGGTGCTACTGTCTTTACCTGCCTTCCAAAATCTAAGAAAGATCTTAGAAGTTTCAGGATTGGTTAACTTCTCAATCATAATTCCACATTTCAAATACAAATATTTCACTGTTGAATAGTTCTTTCCTACAAATGCAGAGAATTCTTCAATATGAACTATTATGTTCATTGAAGAATGCAATGAAAGGGGAATTATCTCTTTACTTAAAATTGTTTCCTGTTGGAACACATGTTGCATAGGTTGGTATTTGATCATAGGTGTTACAAAGATTTACAAACAGATTTTTTTATATCTAGACAACTAATATGATTTTATTGGATTTATAACAGAAACTCAGGTTATAGCTTAAATAATAGAATTTCTTTTCCTGTTCCTTTCTCAAACTTCTATTTAAATAGCATTGTTTAATATTAAGTCCCAGTTGGTGAGGCCATATCATTTGTAGATATAATCTCAAACTTATTTGTCCAACATTATCATCTGGAAGTACTTGCATAATATTATGTGTTCTTGGGGGATATAAAAACATAGATATGGTTATGATACTATTGGATTATATCAACTTTTTTCATTTAGTTTCTTGCCAGTATGTATACCAGCTTTTTGAAGTTCAGAGCAAGTAGTGAAAAAATGAGCTTACCAGAAATAACTTATTGGCAAATAGGAATACATTAAAAAAAAAAACATATAAAGGATGGCTGAGTTAGTATAAAATCTACTATCTTTATCCCAAAATGGAACAAAGAAAATCAACACACTCAATTAGAAAGGAAATTGTCAAAGAGTCTAAAGAACAGAAATGTTTATACCTTGAAGTAATCTGCCTCTGGATGCTAAAACAGTTTTTGTATTACCTACTATGTGCATAATGCTGTCTTTGTTTCCTACCATGCTCATAATGCTACATTAATTACTGAATATATAGTATAGTAAACAAGAGAACTATTATAGTTCTTGTCTTCTTGGAGCTCATCTTCAGTGGGGAAAAATATGTTAAACACCTTATTACAAATTTTAATTACAATTGGAAAAATACAGGAAGTTAATAAATCCCACGATAAGGAGGTGAGCTCAGTTTTCTGTAGGGCAGGAAGGCTTCTCCAAGCATCAGAAAGAGAGCATCTTAAGGAGGAAGAATACAATGATCTAGGTCTTTTAGTGGGAGATTAGAGGAACCAAAGCTAGTCTGACAAAAGGCAGAAGAAAAGGACTTAAGTAGAAGAAAATAGCATCATAAAAGATAGGTATATTCTCAAATCAGTTGACTTCAAATCTGGCATCAACTGGATTACAAATATTTTAACTCTTGATTACACAGTTTCTCTGGGAGTGTCACTGACTCCTAAACCGTATTTTAAAATATGGCCACATAATAATTACCCATTTTTTTAAAATTAAGAATTAAGATTGTCTAAGCCCTAGATGGAACAAAATGACTACTTCATTCTAAGACCATACAGAATAGTTCTTTGGTTTTGTAGCAAATCCAGTTTTCATTTTTCAATAATTACATTGATTTTGCATAACCAATTGACAAGTTTGGTTTTAGTTTCAATGGCTCTGCAGCTACAACAGTTACTGACTACAATGGCGGTGTCAGCCCCGGAAACACACTAGATAAGAATGGTGAGAAAACAAATTAGATAGTTCCAAATTAGATGGAAATAGCCACTTGATTTGGGTGTGGCTGATTGATTGCCCTGGACCCATGTACAAGGAGTAAGTTCCCTGCTATTTTCAGAAGGTTGGACTTTTGAAACGAAAAACAGAGACATGCAATTAAGTATTCCTTCTGATGACAAAAGAGAAGATATCTATTAAAAAATACTTGATGCTTAAAATAAGGGGAAAAAAAGGTCTTAAAATTGTTTGTTTCCATTCTAAATCTGGCAATACACTAAAAGTGGAGAGTTTGAGCTGAGCAACATTGTCATCTCCATGGGGTATGTAATGAATTTGCACATTTTACTCCAACTACTGTATATCTAATCAGAAAAAGATGTCCCCCATTCCCTGATCCAGCGCCAAACAGTAAAAGGTGATTCCTTATGTTAACAATTTCAGCAGAATGGCTTATTAAAACCAGATTTTAGGGTATTATAAAATGCTTAGAAGCCCTTTAAAATGTCAACTAGGATCCCCAGAGACTACATAAAATGTCAACCCAGCTCAAGCGCCTGTTTTAAGCAGAATGAATTAGCAGCATGCTGTCGAAGGCTGTTATCCAAAACAATCAGCAAAGAGGAAAACATCAAGCTTTCTTTGTATTTTTATATGAAATAAGCCATTAGAATGATCTCGAGGATATTTGAAGATCACTTATTTATTTAAAGCTATGGCTAAATATTAAGGTCGAAAACAATTCAGTGTTTAATTTTTGACCAAATATAAATGTTACATCTTTAATTAGTACAATTTTATGAGAAAGACTAGACAGCACTCCCATATAGGTTGTGATGATATAATCGCATAGTCATTCTAATACTCTCTTCTTTAATAAATCAGAAAGATATTCTCTTAGCCAGTTACCTTTTTCCATAGACTTTTGCTACATTTGTTAAGTCTCATTTTATATCATCAAAACTTATATTTCTCTTCTACTTAGATAAAATTTTAATCAGTGATTATTACTTTTTTTTTTTTTTTATGAAGACACACCAATTGAGTGATTCAAAGGCAGTGCAGGCAATCAGGATTTAGCTTTTGTTTTTATTTTGACATTTTTGGATTTCTAATTTGGGAGTAAGTGATAAAACATGAATATAGTTATACAAATTATTTTATTCCTTTCCAAAGTTCATCCAAATGAAACAGGTATATTGTTTTTTTTAATGATGGGAAACTTATAAGGAAGATAAAATAGAGTCACAAAAAGGAAGAATAGATCAGAGATGGTAGAGATATAAAATAAATGCATTTCCTTTTGATCCATTCACTTTTTGATGTCCTGTAGGTGTATATATTAAAAAGCTTTCATATGTTCTCTGTATATCTAAAGTTTCACGTGCTCATATCTTTTGAGGTAATATTTATCTACTGATGGCAACCTCATTTCAGATGAAAATACTGAGACATAACAGTTTAACTGGCTGATGGCTTTGTTTGTTTTCTTCACATTGTACATCACAGACTGGGTAACCTGTTTCCTTGTTGAGAATATGAGATCATTAAAAATACAGGAATGTGTAGTAACTCTTTGAGATGATCATTTCCTGAATAATAAGAAGAAGGGATGCCATCTTCTTAAACTACATGCAATTCCAAGTGTGTTATGAGTTTTAAAAAAGCTTTAATATTTCATTACTTAATTGTGAAGTGAAAATTGGCTGATAGATTAGGTCCTCCTCTTATGTTTTTATTTTTTAACTCTTAGAATTCAGAGAATTAAAAACTAAAAATTGTTTCAGTGTCTAATACAGTGTCCACTGGCCTTTGGGCCACTTGAAGATAAAACTGGTGACAGAGATGATAATCACAATGGCAGTAATAATGACATCCAGAAAGATGAAAAAGAAAATGGAATCATCCTTTTGTTTATGGGACTCAGATTGGTCTACAGTAGGTCTCTTTATAATCTTTACCCTTTCTCACCACTCATCTTCTCTGCGTGCTTCAGTGTACGCTTGTCGGGAAAATATGTGCTTTGCTTTCTGTTAAGCTGAAATCTTCAGTGGAAGAAAAATCTCTTAATAATATGGAAAATTATTTAAAGTTACTAAGTATTACCAAAAATACCTAGTCCCTAATGTTACTGAAGGTATAAATTAAAGAAGGCACAATTTAGATATTTTTATGTTCTGAGTATCTAAACTGATATTCAGTTATAGAACAAGCAGCATCCTCCAACATGATGAACTCTAAATGGAATTGAAAGTCAAAACTCTTTAACACTATGTTACAAAGGATGAGGAGAGAGGAAGGAAAGCTTACCAATCTGTCTATCATTCACAAAGGAAAAGAATAAAAATTTTCAGTACCAATATCTAGGGGCTCATGTGAGAGCAACTTTTTTCCTGAGTCATAACTAAATATTTCTGCATTTTTTAAAAATATTTTTTAGTTGTCGATAGACCTTTATTTCATTTATTCATATGCAGTGCTGGGAATCAAACCCACTTCTTCACACATGCTAAGTAAGTGTGTTACCACTTAGCCCCGGCCCCAGGCCCATATTTCTGCATTTTTAAAGAAGAAGAAATATTATAATAATTAGTATGGAGACACATAGAAACTGGCTACGTTTCTTGATGAACATAGAATGTCTCATAATCATCAGAAGCCTCAATGAGGAGGCTTATATTTTGGATAAGGAAATGGCATAAGCTGTCTGTTTTCCAAATCCAGTATCTTTCTACAATTGCAGAAAAGAGAACAAAAATCACGTTTATTTCATCATTGCTTAATTCCGAATGCTCTTCTTACCCAGTATCTTGCTGATGTTGGAGTTGTGCATGTCAGGAAAGGCTTGAAGAATTTTCCTCCGCTCATCTTTAGCCCATACCATGAAGGCATTCATTGGACGCTTTATGTGGGGTTCATTGCTACCACGCCCCCTGGATTCCCTATAAATTCTTGACTCTGAAACTCCAGCACTTCCTAAAAAACAGGGAACATCACGTCATGTTAGTGTTAAAACTCTTGGCAACTCTCTTTCTTGCATTACTGTTTTTTAGTCTATTAAAATATCTGAAAACAAAAAGTACTTCTAATAATGGTACTTCCAGTTCTTAAGACAGATGCTTGTTTATGAAGTTTTTATGATAAGCCTTGTGGTAGAAAATGTTGTATTTGTAATTTTAGTCTATTTCTAATATGTTTTCCCTTTCTCTCAATGAACCATAGACATTCACCATTTACTTTCAAAAACTCACAAAAGAAGCTGTAATATATGATTTGTGATGCAATATAAAGAGAAAATACTTAGATCAATAGGCATGACAGTACTGCAGAAATATTAAAAATGTAAAGAAGCTGACAAAACTGTGAAATACTAATCCATGTGGCACGATGGATTATTAAAGTTGAGAATATGTTTTTGCTAAAGACTGTTAGAACTATAGTACTCGTATTCTTTCTTCTCTCTGAGGTTACATAAACAAAAACATATAAGCTAGAGAGAATTTCAAGGTATCAATACGATATAGATGTTGCCTTTTAGTGTGCTTGGCTTTTCTTTAAAATTATGTGCTAATATATGCATGAAGCATGTTGATACAGCAGTGATAGTCTGTCCCCCCAAAAGATTTTTGAAAATTGTAGTTGAAAGAACAAATTAATAATTGTATTACTATGGTTTCTTAAGAAGTCTATAGTTACATCCTTAAGATACAAATAGTATCTATAGAATATTATATATACAAATATGCATATATATGTATATATAATTTTTTTTCCTTTGAAGATTCCCCCTAACATCTGAAGTTATCCAGAGAGACTCACTGGCAGTTACATTTCAATTAGTAAGATTCACTGATGATAAAGCACATCCCACAAGTCACACTGAAATCCTTGGAAGCTGCATCTACTCCTCTTGCCTTCTGGGACATCTTAGAATAGTTTCTGCAGAGTAAACAGCTTCCAAGGTACTTGAGTTCAGGCAATGAAAATAAGGAGAGCCAGAAAGAATGAAGAATTCTGACACTAGATTTCCACTGGTTATCATTACAAAAGAGGGAGCAAAATACTCTGTGGATTTCCAGAAACTTGTATTATTAATGAAAAGAAGCATCACTGTTATTTTCTTCTTTCATATTCTTCTTTCTTTTCTTAATTTGAATAGGAAACAAACCCAAATCACCTAGACTTGAAGACTTGAAGAGCATCAAAAAAAAAAAAGCAATATGCATATCCATTGGTAGAATTTCTCATTATTTCTTATTTATAACATGCTCTTTGGTCTGGAAAATATTCTTCATACAAGCACTTAACAAATAACAGCAACAAAAACTTTGATGTTTTAATGCTGGTTGCAATGGGTATATTTTACCATGCTAATGCAACTTAAAATTTATGAAATGTGTTATTACCAGCAATTGTCTTTTTATTGACAAAAATGAGTGCTAATATATGGCAACATCTTTCTAAAATGGGTTTGTAACTAGCGAATGATCATTTGCACATCTGCCTTTTCTTGTTCCTACACCTTACAGCAACATAAGCAATAAAAGGAACAGTATGTGACTTCGACAAATTGAAACAAGCTCTTTACATTTACTCAGGCCAGGTTTATCAAAGCCTGGTGAAGTAGAAAACAGAAGGAAATTGTTTGGATATATTAGAGAAGTTTGGCTAGTCCTGGGATGGTGCACACCTTGACAATCAGGTAGAATTAGCCCAAGCACAGAGCAGACAGCTATGTCGTTGGGAGTTTGTGGGACCCTCTCTCTTCTACTGTGTGCAGTGACTGGCTTGCCCTGATGCAGTCTTTGCTACCTGCAGGGAACTTCCTCTGCAATGGCAGCAAAATAGAGGGCTGTGCCACCAAAATAGAGGTATGCCACCTAACATTAGAGACAGATCACCAGACAGGGAACTGTATAAGGGAAACAGCACTGCCTTCTTTTTCCTTCTTTGCTGTGAAATTTATTAGTTGTCACTGTGGGTGTTTGGAATGTTCAGAGATGACACAAACCTGAGGTATAGAAAGGAAGCATGAAGTTGTGTGACTGGGTAGACAGGCCTTTTGACTGTGGTAGAGAGAATCAGTGGGCAGGATTTCAAAATGCAAAGAACTATCCTGAAAATGTCCTCTGAACCAAGTATTCATGTCATGGTTTGACAAATGGAAACTGAAAAATGAGCTGACAGATACAAATTTCCAAAAAGTGTGTTTGTTTGGGGCAAAAGAAGTAAGGATATGACAGACAGGGTAGTAGTGATTAAGGGTGTTTGCTTTAGAATCATGCCATCTTGAATCTACATCCTACCTCTGACATTTATAGCCCTGCGTCCTTGGAAAAAGAATGATTCTGAACTCCGAGGGCTGATCTCTTTATCTGTAAAAGTACTTTTAGGTTGTGGTAGGCCTTAACCAGGATGATCTATGGAAAGCACTCCGTGGACTGCTTGGTACACAGGAATTGCTCGGTACATGTGAAGCATCTATTGTATCAGGTATGAAATGCCTTGTCTATTTTTTAGCAGTTTTAATTGACACTAAATACTCCTGTACATTATTGAAATAGATATGAATTATTTTCACAAACCATCAGAATCTCCACTCATATTGAAATCCATCATTGCATGGCTAAATTTTCCTTCTTCATTCTGTTTAACTGCCAGTTGCTGAGTCAGACTTTCCAGTGTTGTTTTTTCCTTTAAAAAGAAATTGAAAATAGGAGGTCAGTCTGGGAATAATAATTATTTGGAGGCTTTTTCCCCCCCTGGACCACATATAATACAATAGCTTCTGGAAGGGATGGGATTTTGGCTTATTCACCTGTGAATGTTCAGTACATTATACTGTGGTGATTAAAGAAAATGAATAGCAGGATTTTTGAAGGAACCATGATTCTTATAAACCCTATGAAGTCTTGGCTTTTGGGTTTGGTATGCCTAAATGAGATATGCTGGAATTCTTGGAGACAACCTTCCCAAATCACAAAATGTGCATAGAAATTTCACAGAAGCAACCTGTTCTACATTTCCAATGCCTGTTTTATTTTTAGCCAGACAGTAGAAGTACAGGAGTGGCATGGGGCCCAGAGAAAGTCTTCCAATAGTCAGGTGACCAAATGTAGAAACATAATTCACAGTAGTGCCCTCTGGTTGCCATCTCCCTAAATGCCATCTGCATTTCTCATGCAAGGGTAATGAAGACATTTAAATATTCATTGCTAATTGCTTGTCAAGTCTCTGTACATCCAATGTGAGTGCCTGCTACTTGGACCACAATTTGATTTGGATTGCTAAGCCAAAATATTGAGTTGGCAAATTATTTGAGATACAAATATACCAAAATTAGATCTGCAAAGACATCAAGTCATTTAAAAGCATGCAGTGTATGATTTGCATTCATGGAGAACAAGGCATTACAAACTAAATTCTGTTCAAGGAAAATATAGTGCTTAATCTAAGCTACATAAGATATTAAATTGCTTCCAAATTGAGAGATTGGGTGACTTTTAAGAACTGAAAAAGCATACAATGAAAGGTTGATGCTTTTTCTTGAACTTTCCAGCATTACTCTCAGGATGATGTGGTTCAAAATAGTTTTAAGAAAAGCATCTATTTGGATCTCATAACATTTGCTCAAGTTTCTTTATAACACTCTTCATCACATTTTCTGAGGAACATGGACATGAATTGTACTAGTGAACTACATACACTGCAGAACAGCTATTGATGCAATAATGTATTCAAAGAAAATAATCAAGTATTTGAGATAATTGTATTACAGGTAAAGAGCCTAACTCATGTTCTCACCAAGAACTAATAGGACATTGACATCCTTAATATAATACATTCTTTATCTCTGTAAAATCTGTGACAATACTATAATTGTACCAACTAGATAAAAATTTCTCTAAAGTCACTGGCCTTGAAACTCCTGTACTCTATTCATCAAAGTCTGTACATAGTTTAATAGAAAAATATTTTTAATTGTCAATCAGTATACAATGCAGTAGGGAAACAAAAATAGTTTATGCTAACTTTATTTCTATAGAATTATGTGGTATTAACGTAGAAATTAGTTAGACATTTAAAATGAAGAATCTGGCCCAATTTGTTTTGGGTTGACATTTTTAGCAGTTTAATATCTTCTGGATACCTTTTGCTGAGAGAGTCTGCTCTTTATTCACCTGAGCTCAAGAGCTCCAAGGACACTAGCTTAACAGACTCTTTCTAGTAAATGTAGCTGTTAAAATAAAAGACAGTTACATTAAAAAAAAAAAAAAACCCACATTCCATCAATATGATCTGACATTCCCTGGGTCAATGAAGACTGTACTGTACTTTCTTTGGGGAATGTGCCGGGCATGGATCACCTCTCAAGTTTTGATTTAACAGTGTATAGGGAAATAATACTACATATTTTCTAGAGAATACTTCATTCTGAAGAAAAAAATTTCAAGAAGAAATAGCAAAATAAAGGCAATAGGCATAGAAAAGGAATAAAATGTTAAGTGTCTTCTAAGGTTTTGAGTTCATAGCTCTATGGATTTTGTGCCATTTTACCAAGAGGCTAAATTAACAAATGATGAGCGGGGAAGTTGCAATCAGTTTTTATAATAAGTAACCTCTAACTACCTACCTCTAAAGCACATAGCATAATAAAATGATTCAATTAGCTGCCCCAAAGTGGAGCTTACGGTACTTCTCAAGGCAATGTCAGTGGGAGACAGTGGAAATTAACATGGTAAACTGTGCTTTTGTACGACCCTTTGTATAACGATTCTCAGGCATGTGAATGGGGAAAAAGGAGAGGTAATTGAAGAAAATGGAGAATATGTGATGTGCCTTTAAACAAAACACATCACAACAACATATAAATACAAATGGTGCCATTGCTACATTTTAGAAAAACTGGTGGATAATAAACTCAAAAGACATAAAGAAACTGATGCAAGGAAGAGGAGATAAAAATCACCCAAGTGGAAAATAATGAATTGCACATATTAACCAAACTATGCCATATGTATTAGCCATATCAATTTAGACAAATCAATTAACTTCCCTGAGTCCCAGAATCCTAATATGTAAAATGGGGTTTGAATATATGATATATTCTTATGAGTTTGCAAACATTTAAGATAGGTATGGTTTTAATATTAGAAAAAATAATTCAATGGGGAAATTTAAAAGACAAATATCATTCCTAACATAGAGGGATTAGAGGAATAGTTCAATTCAAATATTGAGTTCTCTATTATGGTAATGATTCTGTATAATCTATGGCTAGGATAAGAGACAAATATGAATTACAAACAATAATTTTAGTAGCAAATTTCAAAATTTCTGAGTGTTTTTCCCTCTTGTCTATCATCTACTAAAATATATTTGATCATTTTATTTATATATTTTTTCTGTTTCATACTCAAGCATGATGAGTTCCAGTTCCATAATATAAATCTCATACATATATGTAAAATGAACATATTTCCTATTCTATTACTTCAACATATACCCAAAACAAAACACCCCACAAAACCCCCAAACCTAAAAATTAACTGTTTGTAAAGGCTCAAATAGACAACCTAAGAGCATATTTCACAGAAGAGTCAAAATAAAGGAACACACAAACTATACCTGAGAGAAGGTAGATATCTCCTCAGTTACCTAATCCTAAATTAAACATGCATGTGTAGGTGGTTGTTCTATAACTCCTCGAAATTGGGATTCGTAAAAGTGATGAGATTTGCTCTCCACCAGGCACACATACACACACAGAGTGATGGGCTGTGGATCAGCTATCATAATGGACATCCCTGAAATAAAGCTCTCAAAGCTATAAAACTCATAAAAAGCACATGCATGAAATGACAGAAGAGAGTGTGACTGTCAAATGTTGACTCAGTAACAGTTAAACCCCTTCTGGCTGCACTTTTTTATGGTCTCTTACTATACTAATGGCACAGGGAAGAAGAAAGAAACAAAAAAGGAATTTACCCTCCAAATATGTGAACCTCACAGACCACCAAAGAGTATGAAAGATTATTTACAATGTCAGAATGATTAATCAGCTGGAGATTTTATTCATCACCTGAGTTAAACATAAAGAAACAAGGTATATGACCACCCCTCAACCTCCCAAATTTATTCTTGCTTACTGATATCTCTATTTTTCTGAAAATAATAATCCACCCACATAATCTTATAGCACAAGTGGGAGAAAATGTTTTCTTTAATTTATGTATAAATTATATATAAATATATATACACAAACATTCACCCACAAAGAAATAAACTCTTTCCTTCAACTTCAATAAAAATGCAAGTTAAGGAAATCTTGCTAATTTTACCCTGGTCAAATATGAATTTATCCACTAGAAAATCCATAGAAACTCTGGAATCTGGTATCCTTGAGGAATATTTTTCCAATCACTTTTTTTATCAGACAATCACAGGGGTCTCTGAACTAAGGGGTTTAAAAGGTCCATTTATGTCTTCTCTCCAGTTATCCACAAAATTAGCCCTATAAAATTCTGATGTTGTTTTTCCTTATAAATCCAGAGATTACCCTCCTGAATTAAACCCATAATTTTGTCCCACAATCTAATTTTCTTTTATGAAATTTAGTAGCCAGCTTCATGAGAAGTTTCTTGAAGTATAGTTTACTATAGCAAAACTTCTTAGGAGCATAGTTTCACCAGAAATCTGATCAAAGTGAAATATATGGACAGATCATGTTTTCTTAGGAAGCAGTATGAAGTTGAAGATATATGGGATAGTTTGGAAAGAAACACAGTTTTAACAAATTCAGCAGTCTTAGTCTAAATGAATAATTTTGTAAGACAGTAATATAACCTGTGGATAAAATTTATGAATCCTATTAGTCATTATTTTGAAAATGTAAAACAGCAAATTGAGTATATTCAAATGGAAAAAGCAGATTCACTGATGAATGATAAAATTACAAATTATCCTTCTCTTGATACATTCAGCATTTGCATTTCTTCTTCTCTAATATACTTTGCCACCTTTCCCCTATACATTTCTATTACTTTCCCCATCTGTTCCATGGACAGATTCCTTCCTTCCTCCTCAGTAATATAGAAACTTCACACCTAGGCAAACTATGATATTGTATTTGTCGATTTTCTTTCTTTTTTATTTATCATTTTTGAGGAGTTGATTATAAAGGGGAAGAATCATTCAAAAGTTGATGCTGAATAACTAATTTCACTTTTCATAAAGAGAGAAATGTAAGCAACAATGACATGAGCACTTAACATGTATTCCAGAAAAAGATAGAAATAACTGCTACAAAGATTTCTTGAAGCACTTTGGTAGAGAATGTGATAAGAAGAAGCTAGAATGGATCCACTCAGGAAAATATTACAATGTCCTTGTCTTTTTTTTTTTTTTTTTCTGTAGGAAATGGAACGCAGACCATTGAGCAACCAAGCTAAATGACAAAAATTGTTTGGACTTGACCCACGTTTGGATTACTCTATCAATATCCTTGTTGTCATGATGGGAAAATTATAAAGGACCCTGAAAAAGTGTTTTAGAATGGGAAGAGAAGATAAACAATAGCTGTCTTAAATCTCTTAAGAACCTCTGAGTTTAAGAAGAACTAAGACCTGTTATTTGTTAAATAGAAACAAAATTTGACCATATATAGCCAAGAGATAGAACAATGATCAAAGGTT